TCCTATTTCTTAACAGAAAAATTTAATAACATAAAATAGAATTTAATGATTTTGACATTTATTAAGAAATATATTGATGGTTCTTTCCAGAAAATAAAAATTAATGTATGAAATAAAGGGCACTATAGTCAATTGATGAAGTCTGAGTTGTCCTCTTTCTCATAGTAAGTTTTCGCGTTGTTTTCGCGTTGCTTTTCGAAAGCCGCTCTTTGATGACTGTCTCTTCGCTTTCTTCTGATGTTTTTGCTGTTTCTGTTACTTTTCTTTACTGAATCTTGTTTACTTTTTCATATTTTCCCTCAAAAATACGCTATGACATATTAAGCTGCCAATAAATGGGGGTCGGTTTCGGACCATCACTTTGCGGTCGGTTTCGGACCACCACAACCTTTTCTAATTAACTGCTCGCCATTATCTAATGACGCAAAGAGCGATGTAATTCTAATAGTGTGAATGACAGCTAGGACTATCAACTATCAGAAAAAAAATTTTAAAAATATTTAAGCTCAGAAAAGAAAAAAAAATGAATGTCACAGGCGTTGAAACAAAACAAACGGAAAAATTGCAGTAAAACAAAAGAAGTCAAATTGGCTATCTATCTCCAAAATGTCTGTGTTATAACAGCTTTTCACTGAAGTTACCGACAATTCGGCTAGCATCGCCATCTCTGAGAAACATGGGGGGGGTCGGTATGGTACGACCGGTACTCTCCCCTATATTTTCACAAAATGAAGATTGACTTTTGTTGGTAATGTCATTCGCAAGCAATTACCCTATGTATGATTTATGCCAAATATCAAAGTAAATGAACGCGTTTGCTTTTTGAAATGAACGAATTGGTTTTTTTTGTGCTTGGAAAAGGTGGTGAAACTTTATTCAAAGATTTTCAATAGTGTATCAATTAAAGTGAATCGATTAAAAAGGCAAGTGTAATGCATTTTCATTTAGTCAAAGCATTATACTAAATGGAACAATATCGATTTGAACCAAAAAATTTATGCAAACACATTTTTTAATTACTTCTTAAAATGTCTGCGAAAGTTGGTTGTGGGCACCAAAATTGGGGGGGTTGTGGGCACCCGTTTTTTTTTTGGCAAATTTTTTTATTACCTACAATTTCTTGTAAAATTGTTTTCAAAATTTGTTTGGAACCCTCTAGAACATTCTTGTAGAAATCTTAGGCTCTTGGAAAAGGATCCTCTCCCACTGAGAGGGATTATCACTCAATTGTGACATCTGCGATCGAGCTTTTCATCCGAAATATGTGGACATGCGGGGCAGTCATTATTATTATTATTAGGGGGGAAAAGGTTACCTCGACCCAACTGGATCTATTGTACCCCCTATCTGAGCTTAGAGCTCACCCATCAACCCGGCTCCTTCGATAAGGTTAAGGAGCTTTATCGGGTCGATGCTTCCAGAGGTCCCAAGTGTAAGGAACCTGGACCCGAGGGTTCTGCTCCTCAGGCTACTTAGTGCTGGGCAATCTGATATTATGTGTATTGAGGTTTCATCCTCGTTATCACAGAATCTGCATGTTTTCCTGTTTGTAATCCCTATATTAAATAGGTGTTTCCTTAGTTTACAGTGTCCGGTTAGTAAGCCGGTAACTATCCTAAGTGATCTCTTCCCTAGTATTATAAGTTTCTTAAACCTCTTTATGTCATAATTGACGATGAGGGTTTTGGCTTGTCTTTGGCCTGTGGTGTCTACCCAGCAGGCTTGCCTCATATGTACCTCTTCTGTTCTTAGGTAATCTTTGACTGTGTGTCTGCCTATGCCACAGTAAGGCTCGGGTCCTATAAGGGGTCTTTCCGCCCCTAGTTTTGCTAGCCTGTCGGCTAGTTCATTCCCGGATATGTCTTTGTGTCCTGGAATCCATCTTAATGACAGCCTGTTGTTGCTGCCCAGAAGGTTCAGCTTTGTCCTTACTTCTCGTACCAGCTTCGAGGTGATTCTATTGCTGCATAGTGCAGTAATTGCCGCTCGACTGTCCGAGAGGATCGCAATGTCCTTGTTTGTGTACCCACGCTTCATATTGAGCTCTGCACACCGTCCTATGGCGCAAACTTCAGCTTGGAATATGCTGGTGTATTGGCCTAACGATTCATGGTATTTGATTCGTGGTCCAACTACTCCAAGGCCAGTGCCTTGGTGTGTTAAAGACCCGTCCGTATACCATGCTATAGTGTGACTCGCCATGGAGTGTACTTCCTTCATGGTGGTCCATTCTTTCTTGTTGCTCAGATGAGCAGAGAAATTCTTTTCAAAGATGAATTCTACTGTCATTTCGTCCCTGGGGTGTGAGCTCAGGGGAAGTTCGACTAGTAGGTTTGCTGCATCCCTAGAACTAAGGATGCGGTCACTGCCATTCCCACAAGAAGTGATTCTTAGTAGGGTGGCCTTCCGCTGTAACTCTACTACGCAGTGTAGCGGAGTGAGTTCCATGAGAACTTCCAGTGCCGCAGTGGGGCAGGTTCTCATTGCTCCTGTCATACATATGCATGCCAGTCTTTGCAGCCTTTGGAGCTGTTTCTGTGCGGTAACGAGCCTAGCTCGTTTACCCCAGGCTACTGACCCATATGTGAGTATTGGCCTCACAATTATAAGGTATAACCATCTGATAATTTGGGGTGAGGTCCCCCAAGATTTCCCTGCAATTTTCCGACAGGTGAAGAGAGCCCTGAGGCACTTATCCACTGTCTTTTGCATATGGGTTGCAAACGTTAGCCTTCTGTCGAAGGTAACTCCGAGGTACTTAACTTCCCGGCTTATTGCTACGGGAGTACCTAGTAGTATGATTTGTCTCATCTTCTTCAGTTTGTACTTCTTTGTAAAAGGAACAATGACTGTTTTTGCGGGGTTGAGGTTAAGCCCAACTTCCCTGCACCAGTCGAGCGTTATCTTGAGTCCGAGTTGGACAATATCGCAAAGCGTTTCTTCAAATTTCCCTTTGGCTACTATTACTATGTCATCGGCATAGCCCTGACATTGTATTCCTCTGTCGGCGAGTTTCTTTAGTAGTTCATCTACTAGTAGGCTCCACAGTAAAGGAGACAAGACTCCACCTTGCGGACATCCTCTGCTTGTGGCAACGGTCATTGTGCTGTTGCCAATGGTCGCCATTGCCTGCCTGGAGCTTAACAAGGCTCCAATCCACCTTCTTGTTGTCGCATCTATTTTCCTTCTGGCGAGGGCCGCTAAGACAGCATCATGCGACGCATTGTCAAAGGCTCCCTCTATATCCAAAAAGGCGCAGATTGCAACTTCTTTGTTGTCTACTACCCCTTCAAGGGTGTGACAAAGTTGGTACAGTGCAGTGTCTGTTGAACGACCTGCCCTGTATGCGTGCTGCGTGGGTTGCAGCGGACAGTCCTTAAGAACTGTGCTCCTAATATGGTAGTCTACCAGCTTTTCCAACGTTTTAAGGCAAAACGAGGTTAAGCTGATAGGTCTGAAGGACTTTGGGTTGGTGATGTCTTTCTTCCCTGCTTTGGGGATGAAGACCACCCTAGCTCTACGCCACGCATTTGGGATGTGTCCAATTGCTAGGCTGCTTAGCATCAGTCTCCTTAAGCGGGTTAGGAGTAAATCCAGTCCCTGCTGCAGGAATGATGGAGAGATACCATCCAGACCAGGTGACTTAAATGGCTGGAAGGTGCCAATTGCCCATTTAAGTCTCTCCGGAGAGACTAGAGACTTGGCAATTGCCCAGTCCTCAGCGCTTGGTCTGAAGTGTCTTGGAGTGGACGGTGCCTCCATTGGGTTGAACGTATCTTCCGCCAGGGGTGAGCTCCCGGGGAAGTGTGTTTTAAAGAGTAAAGCTAGTTTATCCCTGTCGTCGGAAGTGTAAGCGTTATCACATTTCCTCAGGGCTAGGTTACTTTCTGGTGCAACTTTGGCCATAGCCTTGTGCAATCTTGCCCCTTCATGGGCTGTGCTGATTGCCTCACAGAAGTCTCTGTAGTTCTTCCGTTTGGCCTTCCTGATCTCTTTGTTGTAGAGCGTCAGGCTGTGTCTATATTGTCTCCAGTTATCCTCGCTCGTTTTTGCTCTGTTGAAGAGCCGGCGGGTGGAGATTCTGAGCCGTTCCAGGTTGTCGTTCCACCATGGGGCGTCTCTATCTGCTTTCCGTCTGCCAAGAGGGCAACTGTCCTCAAAAGCATTGGTAATCTTCTTGCAGAGGTTATCCACTGCCTGATCTAATTCTAAGGAATGTCTGGGTATACCTGACGGTTCGTTAGAGAGATCGAGCTCAAGAGAGGACTTGAACCGATCCCAGTTTGTCTTTTTGGGATTCCTTTTGGGGGCGTCCCTAGCGGTGTTGAAGTCTAATTCAAATCTAATGATTCGGTGATCCGACATTGATTCCTCTGGCGACACATGCCAGGTCTTAATAAGTGGTCCTAGAGACCTGCTCATCAGGGTTAAGTCTAGGACCTCTTCTCTTACTCTAGTAATGAATGTCGGTGTGGACCCGACATTACCGATTTCTAGGTTACTATTTACTATAAATTCTATTAGCTGCTCACCTCTGTTGTTGACGTCGGTGCTTCCCCATATCACGTGATGTGCATTGGCGTCACACCCGATGATTAGGGGCATCTTCTTCCTCCTGCAGCATTCCACGAGCCCGATGATTTCCGGTGGTGGGCATGCTGCATCCCCAGCAAAATACGCCGATGCTATGGCGATCGCTGGTAGTCTTCCTGCGCCGCTCACAGTTACTGCGACACAGTCCCTGCTTAGGAACTCTGAAAAGATATTATAGTTGATATCTTTTCTTATTAATATGCATGCTCTGGGGTGTGCACCCCGTTGGTCACATATTACCTTTGATTCCTTGGTGTACAGGCCTTTAATGCCCTGATTGCACCAAGGCTCCTGTATGAGAGCTAGCCCGAGATGTTGGTTGGTGAACAACCTGGCCAGGACGGCTGATGCCGCCTTGGCTCGGTGTAGGTTCACCTGGGCTAGCCTCGTGCTGCAGTGTGCAGCCATCATTGGAGCGGATGCTCCATCTTTGGTGAAGGGGGCGGGTGTTCCCCTTCACTACCATCCGTCAGAGTGACGTCGGCCTCCATATCGTCGTTACTGTCGGAGGGCGTAGGATGCTCCTTATCCTCATTCCTCTCAACTGTAACGGCGCTAGGGTCCTCCTCTGTGCCCATAGGCTCCTGTGGCTCGTCGAGGGATTCCTCGACCTCCACTTTGCCATCTGGGGGACCAGAGGGCGCTTCTTCCGTTGCGGCCACCTTTGCTGCCTTTCTCAGCCCACTCACCGAGACGGTACCGAACCTAAAGTTGAGCTGATGCCCTCTAGCTACGATCTCGTCTCGGGTGAGCTGGTCGATCCCGATGACAAGGAGTGCTCCGCCTCCATCGTTCCTCCGGGAGACCACTCTCCAGGCGTCCGTCTCCAGCCTGTTCTGGCGCCCGAGCAACATGAGGAGTTCCTCATTCTTTCTTTCCGCGCTTCTGGGGCAGAAGACCGTGACGTTATATGCCGCGGGGATATCTTCTCCCACCTTGGTTTCTAGGGGCACGCCCTTCCACGTCCTGAGCAAGGGCACAACGGCCCTCAGCCAGTCCGCTGAGTCCTGATCCAGGCAGTCGATTATGAGGTATCCTACCCTGAAGTGGATGCCCCTAAATGCAACTGCCGTGTCCCATGCCGACGTGATTATGTCGTCCATGATGGCCTCCTCCAACTCGGAAAGTTCATCGTGGCTCAAGTGCACCTGTGGGAACTCCGCAGGTAACACCGCCACTCTGACCCTCTTGGCAGCCTCCGCATAGGAGGTGTGCGTGCCAGTAAGAGGGGCTGTGGAGCTGGAGGGTGGCTGCTTCATTCGTGCTGCCGCCGCCTTTGAGGTACAAGGCTCCTCAAGCTTTGGGCAGGAGGGAGTTGCCTTGACCTCATTAGTGCCCTCTGACTTCGACCTTTTAGGGGTGTCTGTCGGAGGGGTGAGGGTGCTGTTACCCCGCTTGCTGGCAGGTGCACTACTTGGGGCCGCTGGTCGTGGCTCCTTTGCCTTCCTCAATGCCTCGTCAGGTGACATGCCCTGCTTGAGGTATCTGAGGTACCATTTAGCTTTGGACCCCGGCAGGCCTCTCCTGTTGGGGTCGTCTATGCCTCCAGGTTGTCCTCTGGCTGGGAGGACATCCTTCTTTGCGGCAGGCCTGGTCCTCTGTCCAGCCGCGGGGGGTGGGCGAGCCAGCCGGGATGGTCCTGCTGGTCGCGCACGTTCCCGGACTGGAACAGTTGACCGTTGTGGGGGATGTCCCACATCTTGCGTTCCAGACGCACTCCTGGCGGTGGCTGCGCTCCTGGGTGGGGATGGTCCCACCTGTGGTCGCTCCCCGTCGAGGAGTTGATTTTCGAAGTGTCTTGCGACACTCGAGGCAGGGATGTCCTGCGGTATCTTTTTTGTATTGGTATTCTTCCTCATAGTGGATCCCACGAGTTGCGGAGAAAGTAAGGTCCACCCGGGCAGAGATCCGCCATACCCGGGTAAGGCGCGGTTAGGACAGGCGGTCGCCACTTGCCTGAACCCTCCGTGAGAGACTGGGCTAGTTGTTTATCCGGGCCCCCAGCCAGGCTGACTATCGGCACGGGTCGGATGACACCTTAGTCCGGCACCGGAGTGAGATTGTGGGAAGGGAAGTTGGTAGGTAATTGTGAGGGAAGAGGGGTGTGTGAGGCTACAATTTAAAGACGGCCAAACAAGCGTCTTATCAGTACACCGACTCCGGTGTACCCGCTGTTTGTCCGGGGTTGCTTATTAGCTTGCGCTTATTCACAACTAACCTTGCGAAGAAGGCCGTTCGCTATCCGCAACCTGCGACCCGCCTGGTGGCCTCAGCTAAGCCCCCCTTGAACATCTCACTAGTTCGCAGGGAACAGGGGGCAGTCATTATACATGTCAAAATTGTGTTTCCGACGATGAATAACGCCTATGTAGTCTTTGAAATAAATAAATTGTCAGTTTGTTGATATTGGTTGCGGTTTTTTTTTCCATATTATTCCATTTGTAGCATTTTTTTCCAGGGTGCCCACAACCCCCCAAAAAAAATTTTAGCTGAAATTTACGATTTTACAAAAGTCCATATGAAATTTTTTCGCATGACAAAATCAAGAATGTTTCTTAATATTTAGTTAGCTTAGATCTCTAGCTTTACACAGATACCCAGATATGTCCAAATAATATGCACTAGTTCGGTAATTATAAGCCAAAAACAAAACTATGCCCACAACCCCCACATCTCCCCTACCAGTCGCTGAGCTTCTTAAAACATTATCTGCCGATATTGATAGAAGAAGTCAAGCCAACATTTTAGATCTTCACTATCGAAACTATATTAAATTTCATGCACCCCCGTACCAAAGTGTAGACCCCCATTTTTTGTCACGCTGAACGTAGACCCCCGTCGAGTCTCCCGTGAACCCCTAGTGGTCCACCTGGACCACTTTGGGAACCAATGTTCTAGTTGAATACTATGATGAGCAACTAATATGTCGTCATCTGTTCGAGCAGTGCAATCTGCTCTAATTATTAAAAATGCTTGTTCAAGTAAATCAATAATTTTGAGTTTTGGAATTAAGTACAGTATTGAACTTGAACCTTAGAGCCTCGCTGAACCTAAAATTTGTCATGTTGATTTCCATTTGTACTGTATTTTCTTCATCAATAATCCCAAACATTATGTGATATAGTAATCCTATAAAACTTAAAAGTGCTCGCAGAAAGGAGTATTATCCTCAACTGAAAGACACTGATCTTTAAAACTATAAAGTTTTTCGCAATTCACCCTATTTTTTGGTAATGGTTATTTGTCTTCACTCAACATTTCAAAAGAGGCATCCTTAATTTTGTAAATCACTAAATTTCAAGAATGGAGATTGTATCTTCTTCGCCCATTGGATCAAAATAAATTGCTGAAGTACTATTTATTTGTTCAATGGTATTTTTTGGCTTTGTACTAATGGAGGATATGTTAGAATATTGACAATAGACTGGAGTCTTAACATCTTCTAGCTTTTCTTCTTCTTTCTGAAACAATTTTTCTTTCTTCTAATTTTGGATTTTCTAATACCTCCGAAGTGAGGTCCTGCCGGGGGGATAAAAAACGGCGATCCATATTTTTTTAGTTTGATAGTGGTTGCCCCTATTGTTATTTCTCCTTTGGACTTTTTGCATCCAGAGACAATCCACCCGAAATCGGGTTTTTGCCCTAAGAGACCGTTTATTTTAACCACTCTGTTTTTTATTATGTATGTATGTATGTATTATGTATTTTTATTATGTATTATGTATAAATCGGCTCCACTTATTAAAGTCAGGGTCCTCTAAATTATAGCTCTTCCACTTGGGCTTGTCAACATTAACTTTGCTGACTGGTAGAGCTTTTATTAATTTGGGAAGTTCTATTGCTTCCACTTTTAAAATTTTTTCAGAGTTATTACTTTTTATTAAAAGATTAACTTTGTGCTTTGAGATGCACTTTCCTGTGGACGATACTCCACTGATATCTGTCTGAGTTTTGATTTTGATAACTTCAGAATCTGCGCTGATTCTTCAGAAATAATTGTGCTTTGTGAACCACTGTCTATCAAAGCTCTAAAAGTTTTAAATTCTCCATTTGAGGATTTTATTTTAATACGTGCAGTAGATAATAATGCCTGCTCTGCCGTCATAGATGTATTTACTTTTTCTGGGTTTCGTTTATAACCAATGGTAATGGTATGGTAATTTTTTTTTAAACCGCGAACATACAATTTCGCTAAAACATTTTTATATTCTTGCAGAGCAAAGGGTATTATAATTTCAGTCAGAAGTTTGCAACGCAGTGAAGGAGGCACCTCAGACCCCATAAAGTATATATATTCTTGATCAGCATCACGATCTGAATCGAAATCCGTCTGTACGTCTGGCCGTCGGTACGTCTGTCTGTTTCTATGTAAACTAGTCTCTCAGTTTTAAAGCTATCTCGCTGAAACTTTCCCAAAAGTTGTGTAGTAGTTGCACGAGCTTGCACGAGCAAGTCGGAACGAGCCGGGTCGGCAGACTATATCGGATAGCTCCCATACGAGAGATCGAAAAAAAAACAATCTCACTCCGTTGTTTTTGATCAGATCGACTTGATTTCTTCCAGATGGAGTTTTATAACTACTATTGAATTTCGGTTAAAATTTTATCGAAATCGGATAACTCTATCATATAGCTGCCATAGGAGATACCAAAAAAAATATATAGAATTAATGGAAATTAATTGATAACGTCATTGTTTTTCATCACACGACTATGATTTTTTGAGTATCAAGTTTTTTAACTAGCCTTGATTTATAAAAAAAATTTCATAAAAATCGGACAACTATATCATATAGCTGCCATAGAAAAGATCGAAAAATCTATATAGAATTAACGGAGATAAAATGATAACATCGTTATTTCTCATCAGAAAATCATGATTTTTGGAATATAAAGTTTTCTAACGACTCTTAAATAACAACTAAAATTTCATCAAAATCGGACGACTATATCATATAGCTCCATCATCGTTTTCATGGTCGCTTTTATAAATGACATGAACTCTATCATGCTTTGTTGCATGGTAAACCATAGTTTCCAAATTGCTTTGTGGCTGGACTGGGACCAGCTAAGCGTTTTCTGAGTGTGGTTGGGTCGGATTTTCCATACCCGTTCGTAGAGCATCAGCGTAGGAGATGTCGTTGGTGGTACTGAGCGGACCGAAAGATGACCTCGCTGCCTTGGCGAAAAATACGTCTGGCGTAGTTTTTGATTTAAAATACACATTTTGTGTATTTTGTTGACGCGTAGCTGTCGCTTGTCGCATGCGACTCTACAGCAGCCGTAGAAAATATCGAAAAATCTATATAGAATTAACGGAAATAAAATGATAACATCGTTATTTCTCATCAGAAAATCATGATTTTTGGAATATAAAGTTTTCTAACTACTCTTAAATAACAACAAAAATTTCATCAAAATCGGACGACTATATCATATAGCTTCCATATGAACAATAGTCAAAAATATGGAAAATTAATAGAAATGTTGTTTAGCCTTTGTGTTTCTGTTCGAAATATTTGATGACTGCAAGGGTATATAAGCTTCGGCTTGCCGAAGCTAGCTTCCTTTCTTGTTTATTATGTGTGTGTTTCATACATTTAAAACACAAATGAGCTTTTTTAACTTTTTCCATTCTTTCTGATGGATTTAAAGCTTTAAATTTACTACAATAAAATATTGTTTGCCCCATACCTTTGCAAATGGGACATCTTTTTGTGAACAATTCTTTGGAAATGTTACTAAATACATTTATTTTAACAGGCTTTATATCAGACAAAATTTGTATTTCTTTAGTTTTTTTAATATGGCTTTCATACAATTAAAGAGCCTCTTTATTAAATTTTCTTATAATAATGTGGCCAAAGATGATATCCATGGAAACTTGTGCCTTAAGTTTTATTATATTAACTGACTCATTAATAGTGTCAATAAACATACGTAATTGCTTCATTGAGTCAATGTTTAAGTTATTGAGCTCAAGAAGACGATTCATTTGTTCGGATAATATCTGCGGCTTATTTTCGTACCGCTTGGTTAATAGTTCCCAAACGGCATCGTAATTACACTGTGCGACAAAATTTAACAAAATCTTTGTTTAAGTTACTTTTTTGATTGTTTTTGGATAAGGTGCATAAATTATGCACAAAAATATCTATGCCACCTTTTAAGTGATACGGTTTCTTTTTTCATGGTAAATTTTATGAAATTATAATTATGAAAATAATTAACACAAAATATTATTTTTTTTTTACTTCCAA